GTTTGGGGAAGTAGATGTTTTTATAAATGTGTGGTTTGTTTTTTTTTAACTTGTTGCTTTCCCATATTAGGGGTGATAGCCAAAGGGTGATAAGAAAAAGGGGGGACAAATAGAACAGTGCAGAGGCCCACCTGGCTGCAGTCCTGTCCATCAGGAAGTGCACTTAACCGGCCACCAATTCTGCCCCCCAGAATCACTGAGATGTTTGCCACTGCTTGTAAGTCACTTAGGTGTTTGCTTGTGCAGGCAGCCTTCTGCTGTACTTTGTATGGAGGGCTATGGGGGTCTCCTCTGCTGGCTGGCCCCCGCTATTCCCACAACTCTTAGGCAAGGCTAGACTCAAGTCATTTTGAGGACACACCACCTCACAGATGCCACCTTCCCCTGTGAATGACACATTTTTAAATTTTTTAAAACTTTACAGATTGGAGGGGGAAGAATGAAGAAGAGGTTATTGCCAAATACGTTAAATAAGGGTTGGGGTGCTTGTGTGTATATCTCCCCCAGCTTCCCCAGAAATGAGGTATTTTTTTTTAATAGTCCAAAATCAAGGGGGGTGGAGAGAGGAGGGAGGTTACAAAAAGCCGGGTGTGGGGGAAAGTAAAAATCACTGTTCCACCCTCAGCCCTGGTCCCTACCATCTGAACCCCTCAAACATCCTCAGGATACAAGACTGTCATAGTGGGAATCCCTCCCATCAAAGATCTGGGCAGGACTGGGGGGGCAGGATGGGGAAGCAATGGGTGGGGGGGGGTGGGAAGCACGGGCCAGGGGCAGTTCTCTCCTCACTTGTAAACTTGTAGTTTCACAGGAAGAAAAAAAATGCAGTTTTAAATAAAGAAGTTTCTTTTTTCCCTGGGTTTAGTTGAGAATTTTTTTCAAAAAAATGAGAAATCTCAGAAGAAAGTATTTTTCTCATAAAGCCCCAAACAGCTTTTCCCCCTGGTTGGTTCAGCCTCACCCTGACCATGCAACCCAAGCCCCTCAGTTCACTTCTGCCTCCTCTCTAGGTCCCACCTGCCCCCCAAAACCTGTTGCTTAGTAACCTTGCCTAGTCAGGATGGGACTGTGGTAGTCCATCAGAGAGTTCTCTGGTGCAATAGGTTGGGGGTCTTCGGGGCATGAGAGGCTCTAGGTGTGCTCCCCACCCCCATGGATATGATGAATGTGCCCAGGAGGCTGGCAATGCCCCTGGGTGGGGTGACAATTGTTTCTCCTTGTACCTGAAGGACTCTTGTGGGAAAGGCATGAATTCCTAGCATTCCCTGTGACGGGACAGGATGGGGAGATGGGGGCAGGGTTGAGGGTGCAAGCCCCACCTAGGGCTGCCAACTTAACATTGAGGGGCAGACAGAACCAGGAGCCCAGGAAGGAAGCAGGATGGCAGCAGCTGGAGCCTGGGTGCTGGTCCTCAGTCTGTGGGGTGAGCCACTCCCCCCACACCAACCCCCATCCCTTGCAGAAATAACTCCGTGCCCACCCCAATCACCCCCAGAACTTTACTGGAAACTAAGCATTAGTTTTCTTTCACGTTTCCTCACTTACCTGTCAGATTGGCCCCATCTCCCATCTCACCCTCTACCCTGGTGCTGTCTCCCAGGGGCAGTGGTCCAAGGTCAAAACGTCACCGCGCAGATTGGGAAGCCACTGGTGCTGAACTGTAGGGGCGTCCCGAAGAAACCACCCCAGCAGCTGGAATGGAAATTGGTAAGCCGGGCTCTTGTAACAGCCTCCCCACTTCCAGAGACCAGCACGGACTGGCTTCCCCACCTTCCTGCCTCATCCTTCCTTTCCCAAAGGGCTTGCACCCCTTAAGCCTCTTTCCTCCATCTCAGAACACAGGTCGGACAGAAGCTTGGAAGGTCCTGTCTCCTGAGGGAGGTTCCTGGGATAGCGTGGCCAGGATTCTCCCCAATGGTTCCCTCCTCCTGCCATCTGTTGGGATCCAGGATGAGGGGACTTTCCAGTGCCGGGCGATAAGCCGCAGTGGAAAGGAGATCAACTCCCATTACCAAGTTCGAGTCTACCGTAAGGATTCCAGAGCCTTTTCTGAAGCCCACCTCTCTCGTCTAAGGACAAAACTTTTACCCCAGCTCTTGACTCTGGCTCTGCTATATGAGAATTTCTGACTACAGCTGCCCCGGGCCCCACACCTGGCATGTGAGTACCTTTCAGCCTCTGACTGGATTGATTTTTCCTCCCTCAGAGATACCTGAGAAGCCAGAAATTATTGATCCTGCCTCTGAACTCATGGCTGGTGTACCCAATAAGGTAGTAGAAGAAAAGGGGAGAAACGTGGCCCTGGGCACCAGAGGGGCAAGCAGCAGTGGGTATGTGTATGCAGCCTCTAACTTCCAAAGGTGATAAGGGCACTCCTTTCTCAGGTGGGCACATGTGTGTCTGAGGGGGGCTACCCTGAAGGGACGCTCACCTGGCACTTGAATAGGAAACCCCTGGTACCCGATGGCAAAGGTGAGTCTCAAGTTTCCTCCACTTAGCCACCTTCTGCTGACCCTCTCCCACACCCACTGGGGTGTCTTTCCTTGTGCTTCCATCATAGGAGTGTCTGTGAAGGAAGAGACCAGAAGAGACCCCGAGACAGGGCTTTTCACACTCCAGTCAGAGCTGACAGTAACCCCAGCTCAGGGAGAAGCTCCCCGCCATACCCTCTCCTGTAGCTTTCGCCCTGGCCTTCCCCGGCGCAGACCCCTTCACTCGGCCCCCATCAGGCTCCGTGTCTCGGGTGAGTGCAGAGGTGGGGACCTTTGGGAGGGAAGGCTAAGCCCACGGACACTGGGGCCACCCACAGGCAGCACTCTCAACCTCATGCGCATCCCCACCCCAGAGTCCGAGTCCAAGTCTCCGGAGATTCAGTTGGTGGCAGAGCCGGAAGATGGAGTGGTGGCTCTGGGTGGTACTGCGACGCTGACCTGCGGAACCTCTGTCCAGCCCCCTCCTGAAATCCACTGGATCAAGGATGTGAGTGGCCTGAAGAGGAGGCTGGGAGACAGCTGCATAATTGGCAGTTAGGTGGACGGGGGCTCATGGCAGGAAAGGCTGGGGCAAGGCGGGGTGTGGAGACAGGAGTATGGGAGGTGTACACAAGGGTTCTAAATCTCCGGGTCCCTTCCCCCACCAGGGCACACCCCTGCCCCATCCTCCCAGCCCAGTGCTGCTTCTCCCTGAGGTGGGACCGCAGGACGAGGGGACCTACAGCTGTGTGGCCACCCATCCCACCCACGGGTCCCTGGAGAGCCATCCTGTCAACATCAGCATCGCAGGTGAGACCTCTCCCCAAACCCCAGGCCCTGGGGCTGGGCTCAGGGCAGCACAGGCTCCAGTTCCTTACCCAACTCTGGCCTTATCCCCAAGAGCAGCCCCAGTGTCCCTCAGCCCAGTCACGCCCAGGCTTTCTCTGCCACCCAAACCCGACAAGAGAGCAATCCAGAATGCCCCCTCTTCTCTCTGGGCAACACTCCAGTGGGCCTCCCACAAACCAGCCGTCTCCCCAGCTGAAGCCTGCCCTTCTGACTGATGCCCACTTTGACTTCCAAAAACAGGTGAAGGATCACCTACAGGTGAGGAGTTGAATAGGTCACAGAAGCAGACAGACTCCAGCCTGATAAGGGAGCGAGTCAACGAGAGGCATGGTGAGTGCTGGAGATGAGCGTGTCCTCAACCCACTGCCTCTTTCTCTAGGCTTTGTGGAAGGGTTAGGAACTCTAGCCTTGGCCCTGGGGGTCCTGGGAGGCCTGGGGGCAGCTGCCCTGCTCATTGGGATCATCGTCTGGCAAAGACAACGGCGCAGAGGAGAGCAGAGGTGAGTGGAAGAAGCCAGACACCTCAGACTTGGGGCTTCCAGTCAGTGAGGGGGAAAGCATGCCAAAGGGCTGGAAGCCACATGTAGTGTCCCCCCTCAACCCTCCTCCCCAGGAAAGCCCCAGAAAACCGGGAGGAGGAGGAAGAGCGTGCAGAGCTCAATCAGTCAGAAGAGCCAGAGGCAGCAGAGAGCAGTGCAGGAGCGCCGTGAAGGGCTGGCAGCCAGAACCCATCCTGTCCTCTGTCCAGCTCTCCCTTCTATAGCCTCACCTCGACAAACATCCCTCCACAACCAGAGCCCCCCACAAACAGTGACGAGTAAACACCTGCCACATCTTGCCCAGTCGGTGCTTGTGTGTGTGTCTGTGATGCCTTCACCCTCTGCATCATGGGGAGCCTCAAAGGAAATTGGCTCACCCCCATACTTCCCTACATCATGTCAACATCTATGCAAGTTGGGGAGAAGGTGCTCCTGTCCTGGGAGCGGAAAGGACAGAGTGGGCTAAGTTCCCAGCAATACATTTCATCTTGTTTATTGAATTTGTAATAAAGGAGGTAGTGAGGGGCAGGAAGCATGTAAGAGTCGGGCCCATAAAAGACACTAGGCCAAGGAGAATTAAATTAATCAACAAAGGAACGTGGGGGAGTCAGAAGGAACCCTGCCCACCTTTGAACAGCAAATCAAGAAATCTGGGGGGAAGCAAAGGATCAAGAGAGGAGGAACAGACGTCTTCAGCCTGTCCTCCGCTCCCAGAACTGAGAGTCATGATGCTACCGAGTGAGCAGTTCAGAGCAGGTTTTCCATCCTGTACACAGATGTCACTCCCCACCCACTCCTGGAGAGTGAGCTTCATCAACAGGAATGGAGAGGCTGGAGGGGAGGGTCCAGGAGTAAGGAAGGGTCAGCAGGGACCCCCAATACTGATTCTCCTCTGGCTGGAGGTGGGCAGGAAGAGACACAGCTCAAATACTGAGCAGCCAGAAAAAAAAGAAGATGGCAAGAAACAAGAAGAGGGAGTCTTGCCAGCTGGAGGCCGGGTGACCCTGTCCCAGATCCACACCTGTGGGAGAGAGGAAAGTTGTGCAAGAAACATCCACTCCTGGGCAGGAGGGGGCCTGACGGGAGGGCTCCTTGGTGGGCACCCAGGGAAGGCTCTTACCTGTACCCCGACGGAATGGCTCGTGGGCATTGAAGACAGTAGTGAAAAAGCCAAAGGGAAAAGCACCAACACCAAATGAGAAGTGGAAGCCCCCGGTGTCACCAAATGGCTGGAATCCCTAGAGAGGTGGACAGGGTCAGGGGGCACTGGCCGAGTCTCCAGCGAGGCTGGAACACAGTCAGACAAACTCACCCCTCTGCTCTCTGGAGCTGGTCGCTGGCCCTGGGGACGGGGTGGGGTTTTCAATCTGAGGAAGAGGGGGATATCAATAGGAAATGTCCTCTTACACACCCAGCTCCCAGGAGAATAACCTTCCACCTTCCCTCAGCACCACCTCCTCTGTGTCACCTGGGGTCCTGGGGCTTCTGGCTCCCGCGCCCGTAAAGGGGAACAACTTTTTCTCTGCTGATCCCAGCTTTACACACTGGGCACTCTTGCCGCTCCGGCCGGGTCTCCAGCCACTGAGGGGAAAAAATGAAGTGGTATCCAGTACAAAGCAGGACCTTCCAGCTCCTCACACCTCCCCATTACCCTCTTCAGTTTCTCTGTGTACGCACCTGATGAAGACAGGGCCAACTAGATGGGGGGGGAAAAAAAAGGTGAAAACAGCTACACAAATGAGAGCACAGAGTCCCATCTCACTGCCCTCCCCACAGTTCCCAGACAGTACCAGCTTCTTTTCATACTTTCTGCAAGCTCTGTCATGCTAGCCAGGATGGCCTTCCCACTTCTCTGCTCTCCCAAGACCTAAAGTTACACCCATCCTCAATTTGCTCTATGTTCTCTCTCACACCCACCTCCCCTTCTCTGCCTTTCAACTTAATTTCCACTTTTCTTCAACCACACTTTTCCAGATCTCCTTTCAGTCCTAGTCCCATCCACATTCCCATCACTCTCAAGCCAAACTACCTCTACCTATTCTAGAATCTCCCCCCACGAATCCTTTTCCTCACTCCCAAGCTCAATAAATGTCCCTATTTCCACTACCCTTTAAATTTTAGGGCTGCCCCTCCATTCTGTATTGTGCACTAGTTTATCATACTACTCACTCCACATCTCCCCTGAATGTGAGCTTACACTCCCTAGGTGTTCCCCCCTCAACATACGTGTGCCTCCTCTATTCTGCCTAGTCCTCCTACCTGTACAATTAAAAGACCCCTCAATTCCTTTGGGTCTCACCTGAACAGATGTGCGGTGACTGACCCCCAGGCCCCCAAGACACCCACACACACATCCCCCTAAACACACCATAAACCCCGGCATTTAATTTCTACGACTCTCCTTTCAACAGATCTTGTCTGTACAGACGAGACCCTCCCGCCCACACAAAACCATTAAGGACCTGAGTCCCCTCCAAGGACTCACCTATAGGATGTGCCCTCTAGTTAACTGCTTAACCATACCACCCCCAAACCCTCGCCTCCCCAGGAATGGAGGTGAACCCCGCCACTTTTCGCCCACCTCCCGGATTCTCACCAGTACAGGTGGCCACACACACTGACCACAGCCTCGCGAGCGGTCTCCAGACATATATTACATTCGAAGGTCGCGCCCGCCCCGCCCCGCTCGCGGTTTGGCCCTTCGGGGCCCCCGTCCTCCTCCTCCGCTGCTGCCATGGCCTCTGTTTCGCCCCCCGCGTACCCCTTAATTCCCCCAAACACACATACACACGCCCCAACAACCGAGAAGCCGCCTCCGGCTCACGAACGTTGGGCAGGCTTCAGGGATTCCTAACCACTATTGGTCTGCGTGCCTGTCAGTCACTCAGGCTCAAAAGAGACGATTGGTTCAAAGGGTGGGGGTGGAAAGAGGTTGGAGCGGGCCTGCCCTTGTACAATGACTATTGGCTGATGCAGTCGCAGTCCGTAGGCAGTGCCCTGGGATTGGTAACGACTCTACGCGTTCAGTCGCCTCCCGAGAGGACTTGATTTGTCCGAGTAGCTGCCAGTCATAACCAAAAGCCAGGCGCAATTGGCTCGGGACTACATCGGCCTCGCCCACAGAAACCTCTTTTCCTCTTGCTGAGAATGTCCGGACTCCTATAGGACTTTGGAGCGTACGGCACCAAGGCAATTGATTGGCTGGAACTCTCCGGAAAATGGTGGTTAGGCAAGATGCGCGTGCGCAGTAGGAGGCGGGAAGGGGCGCGCCAATGCCCTGAGGGTTGATCTTTCTCTGATCCCACCCCTTTACCTCTATCCCGTCGCCATGGTGACGGCTCTACAATTGGCGGGGATTGGAGTTCAAAGGCCTCGATTCGGCCTCATCCGGGTACTCTGGCTGTGGACGCTCTCGGGTGATTGGGCCCTTTCTTTCGCCTCTGATTGGCCGGATCGGGAAAGACAGCGCAGAGCTGGAAAAAAAGAGGGCAAACACTAGGGTCGCAGGGTTCAAAATGGCTCCGGCCTTCCTCGGTGATGTAGAGAACAGAACTTGGGTTCGCTCCTCCCTCTCAGTGATGCAGGGAGCAGAACTAAGATTAGACCGACGCCTGGATGGTGTGAACGTCGGTCTGCGGTGTTGGTGTTAACTCCGCGACCTCGGCTGGACCATTCAGCCCGCCCCTCTAGGTGACTGACAAAGCAGAACTGAACTAAAGCCTCACCCACGTCTAATGCGATAGACCCGATCGACTTTGCCCTCGACTCGGTTTATACACCTTGAGGGCGGAAAAGCTCTAGTCCCACCCCTTTGTGAGCGGGTCCAGAAGGGCCGAGGCCCGCCCCTTTTCTAGGCGACCCCTGGCGGAACGGGGTTAAGCCCGCCCCTTCCTTCATGTAATATGCCCGGCCCAGCTGGGGTCTACCCCCTGGGCTCGACCCCCCGGGACCTGGGCAAGCTGCTTCACAGTTTGGGCCTTTCGTCCGAGTCTGGCCTTTTCCTACAGTCACTGACCCTCACTGTGGCCCAAGGAGCAGAACTAGGTAACAGCCCTCCCCTAGCAGAGTTCTTTACATTCTCTACCTCAGTGCGTGTAAACTCATACAGGGCAAAGGTGTGTCTAGGAGTGAGGGCAGTCGCAGCTTGAGAGCTGTTCAGCAGTACCCTGATAAAAGGTCCCACATGACTCAAGTGAGGCAAGGTGAGAGGTTGGGAGTTTGCCTTAAGGAGGGCAGGGGAGGTCTGAAGAGGTTAGGGAAAAGTTACTGAGAAGGAGAGCTCTCGGAGACCAAGGTGGGAGGAGTAATGGCTTGATCTTGGCAAAGTTATAACGGGAGTCAGGGGAGACGGGGTAGGGGCTGGTGAGGAAGCTAGCTAGCCACCTGGCTGCAGAACGACAGAAGCGAGCTCATTCCACTGGAATCAGCATTCTCCCTCACTCTTTTCCCCCAAGGAGGCAATCCTAATGCCCAGTTTCCACTGGAAGAAAAGGTGTATCCAGATTCTAAGTTGGGGAGAGAAGGGCTGTATCAGCTTGGGTAAGGAGACTGACGGAAGGTTCGACGGAAGAAAAGGTACTCTTGTTAATTAAGCATTGACGAGGCAGGGAGAGAAGTTGAGACTGTCCCTTCTTTTTAATGACCAGAGAGAGACGGGTGGCGGAGGGGGCTGAGCTGCTGGGAAATAGGCAAAGAAGCAGAGGAAAACGGCTAAGGGGGCTGGAGAGTGAGCTGGGTAGAGATGGAGAGAAAAAGAGACAGGGAGCACTTAGTACTTGGCGGGTAAGTAGGTGCTTGATAAATGTTTGGAATAGAATGGGGGACAGGAAAAGACTTCTTGGAGAAGAGTGGGAATTGGAGGGAGTACGCTGCCGGTCTGGGAGCTAAGGACTGCGGGAGAACCAAGTGAAAGTGGCTGGAAGAGAAGAGGCGAGGACCGAGGACGGAGTCCAGCCCCACGGAACAGCTGCGTGCACCGAAAGGGAGTTGGAGGAGGAAAAGAGATGCAGCTGGAGCCCGAGCGAGCCAGAGGCCGAGCCCAGCTGAGCTCGAAACCAGCCAGAGAAGCCCGGTGGCTGTGGGAAGGAGAAGCCTTGGGTCCCTGGGAGGCGATTGGCAAAACAGGCCGCCCATCACCGCCCCCTACTTCCTGGCCGGCCCCGGAAACCAGCAGGCGTTGGGGAGGGGTGGGGGGGATAGCGGCGGCGGCAGCAGCCCCAGCCCTCAGAGACAGCAGGAAGGGAGGGAGGGAGGGAGCTGGGGGGCCAAGCCCCCACCATTCCTACCGCTATGGGCCCAGCCTCCCACTCTCACCTCCCCTCCATCGGCCGGGGCTAGGACACCCCCAAGTCCTGTCGCCCCCTTGGCACCGACACCCCGACAGAGGCAGAGACACACCGCCACCACCGCTGCCGCAGCCTGGCTGGGGAGGGGGCCAGCCCCCCAGGCCCCCCACCCCACTGAGGTGGGGGCGGGAAAGGGATGGGTGGAGGAGGGTGGAGGGTGCTGAAAGGGACTTGGAGGAGGGGATGGGGAGAGAAAGGGTCTGGGAGGGTGGTCTGGGGAGAGGGTTGCTGGGGAAAGAAGGGGGCCTGAGAGGGAGGAAGACTGGTAGAGAGGGAGGAGAGGTGGAGTCTCGGCGAATTTGGGATGGGGGTGTGGACAGGGAATCCTGGAGAGGGAACCCTGACACTACCAGATTCCTTTTCCTGCCCTTTGGCTCCACACCACTCTTGGGGAGTGGGGCAGTGAGGCTGGGTGAAGGCGGTGTATTACTCTCTTTCTGCCAGCAGAATTTGCTGCCTAGGAATGCCCTCAGACACCTCCGTTTCCATCTAGGCACAGCACCTCTTGCTTCTCAGTGGCCTTTCATACTGTGCTGTAACCCTTACTGACACCCCGATGCCTTGTGGGGGACTGTGCTTTCTACATTGAGTCTCTGTGTTGTTGACATGTTTAGTGAGTTGTGTGCAACTCAGTTGCCCGGTGTTAACTAAGGACCTGAGAGAAGTCATGTTGTTTGCCTTTAGAATTGCCCATTCTCGTGTCATGTCCATGCCTCAGATCTAGGTGCGATGTATGTTCAAGCGAGTGAGTTTTTGTTTATTTTAGCTCTTGTGGGGTTTTTTGCACATTTTGTTTTTGCCTGGTTAAGGGTGTAAAGATTATACGGTAGTTTGGGTTCCTGTCTTTTGTCCGTGGATCCACCATATGCAATAGTCCTCAAGTGGGGGTCCTGTGGCTTCACAGGCCAGCGCACCATTTCGTCACCAGGTCAGTCTTTGCTGCACAGGTTTTTCTAGTCTTGGTTCACACCGTACACGTGGGTACCCCGTCACTCTGCACTCATGTGACATGTCTGTGGCAGATGTGCTCCTGCTAATGCATACTACGTTCTTTGTCGTTTTATGGGCGGTATGTTCTGTGAGCTGTGCACTCATTTACCCATTTAGCACCCCATTGTGTTTAAAAATTCTTGGTCGTTTCTGCTCCTGAGAGGCGCTTATAATAACAAGCCGGGCCACCAAGTTCCCAAAAAGGCAAACCCATAGGCCTAACTAACTTTGCTGATCTGTCTGGCCTTAGTCTTAGCGCTCTAGCTCAGCTTGCCGCGGGGTCAACCCCACCAGGCATGTTATCTGTCCCCCACCCCTTGCACCGTTGCCTTGTATCTGATGACAGCAGCATCTATCCTCATGTGGCGTGTTGACCCCCTTTCTGCTTGTGGTATGCGAGAAGGCACTGGTTCACTCAGGCTGTGTAGTGTATTCCGAGGCTACTTGTGGGACTTGGTATGTTCATGGTTTTCTTGGCTCCTTATATCAGATCCGTAAGAACTGTTATCACATTAATTATGGCTAAGAGGTGGGTGTACAGCCTTATAATTCGCTTATCAGTTGTTTATTCAGCACCTTCTCTTCCCCCGCCTGTCTTGGCTGCTGGGGATAAAACAGAGTCTTGTCCTCAAGCTACTTACAGACCAGGGAGGAAATAAAAAATACCAGCAAGCAGCTGGTTACACATAGTGTGGTGTCCGGACCAGTGGTTGTCAACATCAGGATCTGTTTGATTCACCTGGAGGGCTTGTTAAACTATAGATTGATGGGCCCCACACCCAGAATTTCTGATACAGAAAATCTGGGCTAAGGGTCAAGGATTTGTAGTTCTAATCTTTGAGAACCAGTGGTCAAGATAAAAGCCCAGGCCTGGAGGGTTCAGGAAGCTGCCCAAACAAAACCTGTGACATTGAGCTGTGTGAGGCAAGGGAAGAGGCAGAGGCATTTCAGCTAAGGAAAACAGCATGTTTACAGCACAGAAGTGTAAAGAATCAGGGTATTGAGGAACTAAAGTCAATCAGCTGGACTAGAGCAAAAAAGGTGTTTGTGGGATTGTGGTCAGAGATCTGTGCAGACGTCAACTTGTCAAGAGGGCTTTTGGGCAAACCAGATGCTCAGATTTGTGTTAAAAAAATGTCAGTGGTGGCCACATGGAAGACAAGAGGTCATGGTATGCTATAAGGGGAAGAGGAGTCTGTTTCGAATAGTCCAGGGTAGAAAAGCAGGTCTCAACTTGCAGGAGGAGTGGGATAGAGCCGCTGGCTTGGCCAGTGGGCTGCCCTTTGAGCTCAGCCATCCCTGGCTGGGAGTGCCCCCGGCCTCACTGTGAACAGCAGCTATGTACTTGCCTAAACACCCTTTGTGTGACTCAGGACCCTACCCCCAGCAGTGAGGCAGGTGGAGGAAGGAGGAAAAGCCTAGAAGGCAGGTTCCAGTGCCAGGGCCGCCGCCTCCCAAGAGCTCTTTCCTGGACAAGTGGTATGACTCTGCCCACATGGTGTTGGCTTGTTCTGTTTAATCTGGTGAGACTTGATGACTGCAGCTGCCTGACCAAACTGCCCTCAGTGTCCGAAGAGAGGGAGGAAAGTGGTAGGTGCGCTTGCCTGCCTGTGGAGGCAGGATTGATGGAGGTAGCGACTGCTGGTGTGTTGGTGGCTTTCCCTAGGGTGAGGGAGGCTGCCTGGTGGAGATTTTTCTAGGTATGCACTTAGATTTTTCTAGGTATGTCTCTGCGTGCGATTGTAAATTTCTAGATGCGTGTGGATGGGTCTCAGGGTGACTGTGTAAGTGACAGAGCCTTCCTCCTTCACAGTTAGCCTGTGAGAATGTCTGCAGGTATCTTGTGCAGTGTGCGTGTGAGTGCAGTGTAGCCACGGGTTAGAGCACAGCTGCTTAAGGTTTAGCTAGGAATTGTCTAGCAGCTGTGCGCTCGCAGGTTAAGTTCCTTTACTTCTCCGAGCCTTTTTCCCATAAAATATAAATCATGTGGTTCATTTAAAGGTTTAACATAGTATATAGAACAGGCCTATCCAACAAGCCATATGTAAAATTTATAAGTTTCTATTAACTATACCAAAAAAGGTAAAAAGTAGCCGGGTGTGGTTAATTTTAATTGTATGTTTTATTGAAGTGTGCCCAAAAGTTTATTATGTTGATCAACATTTAAGCAAAATAAAGGATTTTTTTTAAAAGATTTATTTTATTTATGCATACGAGAGGTGGGGTTTAGGCCAGAGGTATGGTGAGGGCATGGGGGTTGAGAGGATTCACCTGAGACATGAAGGGCAGAACAGGCAGACTGACTGAAATACTCTGCTAAAGGGAGCAGCGGGTGGGACAGGAGAGGTCTGCCGCGCCATGTGGGTCAGCTCCCTGGCAGGGGATCGAACTTGTGCTTGTAGTGGCTGTGGCTAGCTTCATATCACTGTTACTCAATCCCTTATGCAACCAGGGAGGCCCCAAAATAGAAGCTTTTTAATGGGATTTTTTTATATTGTTTTTCATTCTGTGTTTGAAATCTCAGGTGTGCATTACATCTCAGCTCAGAGCAGGCCACCTCTTAGATGTCCTGTAGACATCCACATGGCTGGTGGCCACCACACTGGACAGTGTGGGTCTAGACCATCATAAAACAAGTGTTAGCTGTCACTGTTATTGTCCTCTTACAATCATGTGACTGTGAATCGTGTCCATGTCATGTGTCTCTTGCCTGAATGCGTCTGGGGTCTTGACGGAGAGGGATGAGAGAGCAGTCCCACGCGCCCTTCCCCGCCGCCCCATCCGTGGGAACACTGGCCCCATCCTGTATCTGCGTCCCTTGACCTCACAGCCCTGACTTGTGTGCCTTGCTGACCCTGCTCCCCTCCAGGGACCACTTCCACTCTCCCTGTCCCCTGCAGGTGGCCAGAATGGAGCTGTGGCCCGGGGTATGGACGGTGCTGCTGCTGCTCTTCCTGTTGCTGCTCTTCCTGCTGCCTGCCTTGTGGTTCTGCAGCCCCAGTGCCAAGTACTTCTTCAAGATGGCCTTCTACAATGGCTGGATCCTCTTCCTGGCTGTGCTTGCCATCCCCGTCTGTGCCGTGCGAGGACGCAATGTTGAGAACATGAAGTGAGGGGGTTGGGCAATGAGAGAACCTAAGGGTGGGGGAGGGCCGGGGTGTGCAGGAGACGGAGAGCCCAGGGCCCAGGAAGGGGCAAGGAGGCGACACTGCCCCTTCAGGTTGGGGGTGGAGTTGGGGGAGCTGAGCTTGCAGGTGGACTCCTGCTGGAATCCCTTGCTATGACCCCACAGGATCTTACGCCTGATGCTGCTCCATGTCAAATACCTGTATGGGATCCGAGTGGAGGTACGAGGGACTCACCACTTCCCTCCTTCACAACCCTACGTCGTGGTGTCCAACCACCAGAGCTCTCTCGACCTGCTCGGTGAGCCATGCCCTTCTTCCTGAGCCCCCTCCACAAACTCCTCCCCTGGCGGTCCTCAACTCCCCTTCTCAGATGCGGCCACGTTACTCCCATCCCAAGTGTCTCACCTTGGGGTAGAACTGCTCTCCTCAGCACCCTTTTCTACTCCAGCTTTCCTCTTCCTTTTCCTCTAGTCCCTAGTAATGTGGGTGATGGCCTGGGCAGGTGGGCTCCCTACCCCTTGACCCTCACCCCACTCCTCCTCTGCCTAAGGGATGATGGAGGTACTGCCAGGCCGCTGTGTGCCCATTGCCAAGCGGGAGCTGCTGTGGGCTGGCTCTGCTGGACTGGCCTGCTGGCTGGCAGGAGTTATCTTCATTGACCGGAAGCGCACAGGGGATGCCATCAGCGTCATGTCCGAGGTTGCCCAGACCCTGCTCACCCAGGACGTGAGTCACCCTGGAAAAGTGGGGGCTGGGGCAGTTCTAGAATGAACAGCGTAAATGAACTAAGGCACAGGGCCACGGGGCCTTAGCAATCCCTTTGCAGCCTCAACCATTTTCTGACCCTCCATATATGCGCGTCTTCCTTGATGCTCTTTCTTGCCCAGGTGCGGGTCTGGGTTTTCCCCGAGGGCACGAGAAACCATAACGGCTCCATGCTGCCCTTCAAACGTGGCGCCTTTCACCTCGCAGTGCAGGCCCAGGTGAGTGCTGGCTCTCCTCAGCAGGTGAGCTGCTGAGCTCCAGCCCCCGCCATCCCTTCCTCTCGTGGCACAGGCTCTTCATAGGGGCCTGGGAAGGGAGCTGTGAGGTGATCGCTCTTCCCTCAGGTTCCCATTGTCCCCATCGTCATGTCGTCCTATCAAGATTTCTACTGCAAGAAGGAGCGCCGCTTCACTTCTGGTGAGGGTTCTGAGCAGATCCGGGGTTGGGCTGGTCGGCATGGCCATGGGAGAGCTAGAGAGGTGCCCTCGGGGGGCAGTGTCAGCACCGAGATCCACAGGCCCCTCAGCCAGTGTTTATGAAGCACTCATCACACTGTGCTGCAGGGGTGACCCTTGGCCGCTCCAGAAGGGCTGATACTGTCTAGCAGGGACACTAAAGCTGTAAGAATAACAACTCAGTAGGAAAGGCCATGCCTAGGCAGTCGGGGCTGGAAGGGTGCTACGGAGGTGACGGAGCTGTGTCCAGGGGTGCCTCGAGCAGGGAGCCTCAGGCAAGCCAAGGGGCAGTTGTCTAGGGGAAGGGAAAGAGAACTAAGAGTTTGAGAAGCAGAGTGGCGGGGAGGCTCAGAAACTGGGCCCCCAAGACCGCAGGAGCCTGGGGGTGCAGGCCCTAATGGTGCTCCTCCCCCAGGGCGATGTCAGGTGCGGGTGCTGCCTCCGGTGCCCACAGAAGGGCTGACACCAGACGAAGTCCCAGCGCTGGCCGACAGGGTCCGGCAGTCCATGCTCACCGTTTTCCGGGAGATCTCCACCGATGGCCGGGGTGGGGGTGACTATGTGAAGAAGCCTGGAGGGGTGGCGGAGGCCCGGCTCTGAGCTCCCCTCCCATCTCCCCAACTTTCCTTCCCAGACCTCCCAGTCCAGTGGGCCCTGAACTAGGGCGAGTGAGCCCTCTTCCTCATTTACCCTCTCCCACCTGTCCCCTCTTCTTTGGAATCTTCGCGTTCTGAAGTGAATGTGGATACAGCACCACTCGCTGCCCCTTCCCAGCAACCACCCTCACCCCCAGATTCTTTGCCTCGGTGCAGTCTCCACTCTGACCCCACCCACCTCCTGTGCCATCTTGTCTGTGGGAAGGTTGCCTCCCTCTTATCCCAGTGGCTCAGCCTACACAGGGCGAGAACACTCAATCCTGTCCCCAGTGGACTCTTCCTTTGTGGTCTCTCTCCGTCCACCACCCCACATTGGCCAGTAGACTCATCCATTCTATGGAACAGTTCCCCACCCCCTTGTCCGTGGAATCAGTGGACTCATCCTTTGTGAGGAAGACTCGTGCTGTGGCTGGAAGCTGACGCCTGGAACACTCCTCCCAGGCTGATCCTGGCAACACTCCTCAGCATCTTCACCCTTCTCCGCAGAGCCTCCTGTCCCGGAGGCTGGACTCTTCAAACTCAGAGGTCTCATCCCCGCCTGTGCCCAGGCGCCCAGGGTGGAGCACACTCCTGGACGCCAGTTTGGTCTACACATTTCTGCTTCCTCCTGTCCCGTGGTACAGTTCGGTGGTCCTGGCCCCACCCAGCCCCATGAAGCCCCGCTGCTCCATTCTAAAAAGACACCGGGGAAGAGGCAGACTGAGGTGCTGCACTCGCTCTGCTCCTGGGGACTTGGAGGAAGGATCTGAACCCTGGCTGGAGGGGATAGGAGGGCTTTTAATTTATTTCTCTTTCTTTTGAGGCTTCTCCTCTCTGAGCCAGTTTTCATTTCCTCCCTATGGCATTAACCACTCCCTGCCTCCCACCCCAGACCTGTGCCCACAACCAGGGAGGTGGGTTGGGAGTCAAAGGAAAGAGTGGGACCCAATTTTGTGTGGTTGGTTTTATTAGTTATCTGGATAACAGCAAGAAATGAAGAATAAAGCTTGAGAGAGATCTGGGCACTTTCTGGCTTTGTCTGTTGAGCTGAAGGGCAGTTCTTGCCCAGGCCGTCTGCCCACCCAGGCCGTCTGCCCACCCCATCAGTCCAGGTGCGCCTGCCTCGCTGCTCAGTGGCAGAGAGTGTGTGCAGATCTCCAGCCAGGCAATCCCAAAGGACAGTGCGCCCACTTCCTGTATAAATTAGGGGGCGGGGGCTTTGCAGCAGTTCATTTGTAGGTTCCTTTATCTCGGTGGGGTCCTCAGGTTCTTTATCTTCGCCGTCGATGGAGGCCTGGGCCCAGGCTGTTGTCCTCACAGGCACCTGGTTGAAGACGGGGAGAAAGGCAGACACTGGAGCTGCCTCCGTCTGGAGTGACCAGTGGGCACTTGAGAGGTCGAATACTCTCAACAAGTGGAACCACCAGATTGCAGAAGAGTGCCAGAAGGGGTGGGGAAGTGGGGTTGTCTGAGGAAGTGGAAGGGGGGAAGATGGAGGTGAGAGAAGACTGAATTAGGGAAGTGGCCAGGGGCGAGGGGGTGGGGGTGGAGCAGTGAGGAGCACACTCACAGGCACCCAGCCGCTCCTCCAGCAGCAGCACCTGGTCGCTGAGAGACTCGATCCTGTCACCCCGGCCCCACAGTTCTGCCACCACTTCAGGCTGTAGCTCTTCAGGTGGCACAGGCAGTACAGCTCGCACCCAGGCCCCGGCCTGGCCAGCCCACTACAGGGGAGCAGAAGCCTCAGGCCGCTGGACTGGGGCGCCCTCTCTCTGTGGGTTTGGTCCCTGAGACGGCCACTTTACCTGTTCCATCCGCTCTAGCCGCCCTCGTAGCTCCCGAATCTCCCGCCTGAGGGTGCGCTCACCTTGTTCTGCTTCCCTCACTGGAAGAGGAGGGGGAAAGGGGAGGGGAGGGGAGCAGGACTACCCCAACGCCGGCCACGCCCCGCTGCCCGCCCCTTTGCCTTCTCCAGCGCTCCTCAAGTCCCTAGCTCCCATCTGCTCACCTGCCACGCTGAGGATGCTGGCACTGGTTGGGGGCTCCGGGGAGCCCTCTGCGCAGGTGCGGCGGTCTGGGCTCAGCACCAGGCCCTGGGGACAGCCACAGGTGAAGCTGCCTGCCGAGTTGAGGCAGCGATGCGAGCAGAGGGCGACTCCGGTCCTGCATTCATCCATGTCTAGTTAAGAGGACGGAGCTGAGGGGTGGGGCGGGCCGTGCCGGTGGTTAGCAAGCTCCGGTACAGCATGCCGCTGCGAAAGGCAGGCGAGCGAGCGACTCACCCACATGACAGTGCTTCCCACCCCAGCCGGGGGCGCACTCGCACTGGTCTGGCCGGACGCAGACGCCTCCGTTTTGGCAGGGCTTGGCGCAAATAGCTGTGGTATGCAGGAAGTGGGGTTCAGCTGGGGGCCAACCGCCAGGCCCCCTGGAGCATACCTCCAGGCCTCTGGAGACCCAGCCTCACCTTCATCGCAGGTGAGTGCCCCAGGATGCCTCTTCTTCCAGCCCTGGCAGCACACTGCGTGGGTTTGCTGCACCTCCCTCCTCACCTCACGCCATGCCACCCGGTAAGTGGTCCTGGAACACAGTGCCCCATCCTGGACGTTGGTCCTGGCTGCGCTTCTGTAAGTTCTTGAGATACCCTGGGGTCCAGGCTTCCCATTCCTCACCTATAGGTGCTGCAGACACGCCTCCCAGCACACAGGGTCAGGTAAGGCTTGTACACGGGTTGGCTGTAGGACTCGTTGTAACGCAGCGGGATCACCAGCGTCTGCTTGGAGCAGACCCTCTGACTGGACCCAGAGGGTGTGGTGAAGGGTGGGAGACATTGAGTGCACCAGACTCCCATTTCCCTTGGGTTCCACTGAATCCCCCCCCTCCCCCAACAAGGTGAAAGCCACTTCCATTCTAAATTTCCAATGAAACCCCACCCCAGCAGATTTGGTAAAGCCCTCAACCTCATTGGCACCTGTCTTTGAGGGATCCACCCTTGGCCCCCTGGCCTGACATCAGAAGCAGGAAGAATGAGAGTCCGCCCAATAGGGTACACAGCTCAGCTCTGGATCCCATGATTCTTCTTGACAGCAGGCTGCCAGCTGTGAGCAAGAAGTGAAAGGGTGGATGGGGGCCTCCCTGGTGGTGCAGTGGGTGTCAGCATTGTGAAGCTACTGGCAGACACCACAGGAGTTTGATCCCCAGCCAGGGAGCTGACCCACATGGGGCAGCAGAACTCTCCTGTCTCACCCGCTGCTCCCCTCAGCAGTGTATTTAAGTCTGTCCTGCTCTGCATTCTGTCTCTGATGAACCTTCTCACTCCTCCCCATGCCTCTGGCCTACACCCCAGTTTTTGTATTTATAAATAAATGTTAAAAAAGTGAAAGGGAACCTTCCCACCTCCCCCCACACCCCCGCTAGTAATTTCTGCAACCCCAGCCGCTCTGAGAGCAGGCGTTGGTGCCCTGAAGGGACAGGACAATCACATGGCCACACCTGGACTAGCCACCAGGCCTGACTACACCTGGGCAGACACTGAGCACCGCCCCTCCCTTTAGCACATGATGGTCCATGCAGCATCACTCAAGCTCACTGACCAGACACACTTCCTCCACCCCCCTCTGCACAGCTCCCCCCAGTTAGCCGTCCCCTCAGGCCCTCCTCTGACACACCCTTCTGCCTTAGTCTTCACATCCTTAAATCTTCAGATATTCACCATTACACCCCTTCATACCTTGCATACACCCCCACACACCTGGTGCCTCCACACCATAAACATTCCTACCACCCTCACATACCCATACCCCTCACCCCAACGCACACTCCCTCCAGGGCTCTGAGTGCCCCCCCTTTCCCCACTGACATTCTCTCCCACCTGTCTTTGCCCTCTCCGGGAGACTTCAGGCAGACTGGCCTTAGGACAGACAGCAGCTCCAAGTGGTGGGCGGGCTGCAATGGAGAGGAGGGGCTGGGCCAGACAGAGTCCTCCCATTCCTGCCCCCTCCCACAGCTGCCTCATGGCTTCAGCTAGGTCAGCTCAGTGGGTCCAAGACCCACTAGCCTCACCCAGCCCCCAAGGAAAGGGTTTCCCAACCCTCTGATGCCTCCTACTAGTGGACCCTACAAATCAGCAGAGGCTTCTGGTTCTCAACATCAGCACCCCTGGCCCCGGCTCCTCCCCCACTTTCAACCCAACACAGACTGGGGAAGGATTGGAGGGTAGGGAGAGACTAGAGCTGGCAGAGAACAAAGCAGGGTCAGGTCGTGGGAGAACAGGCAAGATCAGCTGAGGAAAGAAGGGCAAGTCGTCACAAAGGGCGGCGCCGGGGGCAGCCCAGAGCACGAAAGAGCACGCAGGAGAAAACTGCCCCCATTTCTTGATGACATTTGTTAAGGCCTAGGGGAGCAGCACTGAGTCAGCCGCCGGCCCCCAAGCCAGAGCACACAGGGCCCCATTGTCTCCTCCAAAATTCCTTCTTTCTAGGAAGAGGAGGCTCATTGTCCAGCCCCTCACCCAGCTCTGGCCCACAAAAGGTTGAAAAGGGGCACAAGAGATGCCCACCCTGACCCTTAGCCCCCTCGTCTGGCCTGGGGGTGGCAGGCACATTTTACCCATGTGGTTAGGGTGCAACCCACTGGAGCCCTGGGCTCAGCCCCCCATCTTAGGCTGGGACAGGAAGAGAATTGTCCTTAGCAGGAAAGAACCCACAGAGAACCAGGAACCCACACAGAATGGGCATTGAGAGAGCGGAAACACCAAGGGGGTCCCCACCCCACACCAGGCATCCGGGCACCCAGGCCCCAGGCTCTCCAACCCCACCCTCGTTGGGGAGCCAGGTCGCCCTCACCTGGAAATAAGCCAAGTCAAACTGAGGAAATGGAACTTTATTTCCATAAATACAGGAGTAACACCCATTCAAGGGTAGCTAAAAGGGGCTGGGGCCTCAAAGAAACTAGGCTCCCAGGGGTACCCCAACACTGAACATAGGGACTGGGGGATCCCCAAACCTGAGATGGGCCTCAGAGGCCACAGATATTCCCCAACACTGACACTTCAAGAACGGAACTGTCCTCATAGGAGAGCCTCAGAACCCCACTCTTGTGAGTAGTCCTTACTAGGGGTCGGGAGGGCTGACGACAGGGGAGTTCAGAGAAAAAGGGAACATGGGGAGAACAGAAGCTAAAAATGTCCTGAGTGGCCTGGAAGGAGACCCCTGTGGTGGGCAGAGGCGGGGTTCCCTCCTGTACAGCCAGTGATGAAGGAGCAGCAGCAGCAGCCACGAGTTAAAAACCTGGTTTCTCACTTCCCAGCCTTGGTGGCTTCTGGAGGATGGGAGAGCAGGGAGAAACCCCCACATGAGAAGATACAGGTGGGGGAGACCAGGATTTGTCATTCACAGAAGAGCAGAGAAGGGCGCCCTGGTTGGTGGGGGCAGTGGGAACAATGAGGCGGTCACAGGCACACCAGAGCCCGGCATCTGCTATCCAAGGCCACCACTTGGTCTCTGGGCTGGGGTGTCCTGGGGGTTCCCTGGGATGTCCTCAGGAGAGCCAAGGTTCAATGCAGGTCTCATAGAGGGTGCGGTTGGAGTGCCAGTTCGTGTGAGAGATCCCAGCCATCGGACATCTTACTATGGCCCCCCGGGCCAAGAGAGTCTTCAACCCAAAAGAATCGCGTAGGTAAACCTTCGGGGTGGATAAAGGCAAATAGAAGACACAAAGTGAGTTCCTGCTCGTGTCCTGGACCCCCTCCCCACAGGGTGGACCAGTAAGCTCCCAGATGGGTGGCAGACAGGGCTACAGACGGAGGTTGGATGGAGGTTGGATGCCTGGTGAAAACAGGGACGTAATTGTAGGGGGCTCACCAGTTGCTCCTCCATCTCCAGGACAGTCTCATTTGCATCATAGAAACCAAAGAAGCTACAAAGAGATGGGGAAGGGGGGTTATCAGGAGAGCTGGAGGAAACCAAGATGGCCTAGGTCTCTCAGAACCCACAGCTGGCTGGAGACGGGCAGCAAGGCGGACACTCGAAATAACTCGACAGCACATATCTCACGAGGTGATATGCTGGGAACACAGCGTCACTTCTGAAGAATCCCTATCAATAATGTATAACCTGGAATCTATTGTGAGCAAATCGCTCACAAGCCCAAGCTGAGGGCCATCCTTAAGAGCTGAACCACACACTGCAAATCTATCAATGTCACGGACAGACTGAGGACGGAGGCCAAGGTAAGAGTCCAACGAGGGACAATGGGATGCAACGTGTGGACCTGGGCTGGTCTTGGCACTGATCTTATTTCTAAAAAAACAATTTTGAAAAACTGAATCAAGTCTACAGGGTACTGTACCAATGTTCATTTCCTGGTTTTGATAATTATACTGTTTTTGATAATATGCAAAAGAATATCTTAGACACACTGAAGTTTTGGGGAAAGGGGACATCATGTCTGCAGCCCAGTCTCCGAGGGCTCACACACATCTTGAGAGAGAACGCCCAGTAAGCATGCTCAAATAACGCTGGGAAATCTAGTGAAGAGTGTACCACCTGGTAATAGCTTCAGTAGGAAACCATTTGAAAATAAAAGGTCTTCACACTTCCTTGGGAATATTTAACTGGCAAGGGTACTGAGCAGATGCTGATTACTAAGAACTAATGCTCAGACTGGTAAGTCAGATGGGCGATGGGAGCCAAGCGGCTGTGTTTTAGCGTAGCAACAAAAGCTCCCCAGGACAGCCCTGACCTGGAGGTGCTCCTGGCACGTGGAAGGCGAGTGGGAGGCAAGTGGGAGGCGTGTGGGAGGCACGTAAGCACATGGGGAGCTGGGCTGGGCACTGGAGGCCATGTGGCCGGCAGCAAGGCGCACCCCCAGGTTTGCAGCCAGTGGTGTCACACTCCCCGCTGTGGGTTTGATCTTGTTTTATCCTCTTTGTCCTAAATCTACCTCCCTTTGCAAAGAGGAAGTACAACGTTGTGGTTAAGTCAGAAAGCCTGAGTTTGCCACTTACTCTATGAATGAATGCAAGTTAGCGCATCTCTCAGCACCTAAGTTTCGTATGAATCAAGTGAGAACAGGAGTAATTACCCCAGAGGGTCGCTGTGTGGATTTCATGAGCTTTATTTGAGTGTACTTAGAATAGTTGGTTGGTACCTAAAAGGTGCTTCCGAACTGTGAGCTCTTACTATCTTCAGAAAGTTGTTGTGGATGTGACATGAGTTAATATTTTAAAAATCCCATCCCTCACTACTCTAAGGAATGTCACTCCTTCGTTCAAAACCTTCTGAGGCCTCATTTCACACAGAATAAAAAATCAAGAGCAATGATTACCAGGGACAGGTGGGGAGCCAGGGATGAGACATTATTGTTTAATGGGCGTGGAGCTTCATCTGGGAGGGAAAAAAGAGTTCTGGAGGAGGTGGGTGGTGGTGATGTTTACACAATAGTGTGAAAGGACTTAATACCACTGAATTGTATAAAAATGGTAAATTTTATGTTATGCATATTTTAGAAATAAAAATCAAGGGCCTTTCCCCTACTAAGTTTCCACATAAGTTGCTCCCCGCACCTTTCACCTCCTCTCCCACCACCCTGCTTTCTACTCCCACTCACCTCCTTATTATTCCCCTGCCCCAGGACCTTGGGAGGTGCTACTCCTTCTCTCTTCCAGTGTGTTGTACAACTCCTTTCACTTCCCCAGTCTCTTCGAATGACAACTCAACCAGGGTCACTGTCTAACAGATTCCACAGGGCCCTCCCTGGTGGTGCAAGAGGTTAAGACAGCACTGTGAAGCTGTCTGCAGCCTCTGCAACATGAGTTTGATCCCTGGCCAGGGAGCTGACCCACCTGGCACAGCAGACCTCCCGATCTGCCTGCTGCTCCCCTCAGCAGTGTATTTCAGTAGATCTGCCTGTTCTGCTCCCCACTCTGTCTCTGCTGAATATCTCCCACCCTGCACCCCTGGCTTGCACCCCAGCCCTTGTATGCATAAATAAATGAAACTTTAAAGCAAAATAGATTCTACAGCAGCCTATGGACATGAGAAAGAGTGTGGGCTTCTGGGTTTCTCTTTCAAATGCCCCCCACAGGAAAATAGCAGAACTAGTATGTGGTCCTAATTCCCCCTCTATTGTCTGTTGTTATTTTTTTTAAAAGATTAACTTATTTGTGCATACAAGAACTGCAGTATAGGCCAGAGGTGTGGTGGGTGAGAGGATTTACCAGAGACAGAGTTGGGGACAGAACAGGCAGGTTGAAACACACTGCTGAGGGGAGCAGCAGGCAGAGGCCAGGAGAGGTCTGCTGTGGGGCAGCTCCCTGACCAGGGATTGAACTCATGCTGCAGTGGCTGCAGATAGCTTCATAGTGCTGAGCTTAAACCCACTGCGCCACCAGGGAGGGCCTGTCTGTTGCTATTTTTATGTCTCCCCTCCTGTGTTTGTGAAATGGTTCTTTAGAGGGGTGTCAGCCCAATCCTTCTCAATCCACTACTTTATGAAATAAAATGGATGTGGCAGAAATGTGGTGGGGGGGTGGGGGAAATCTTTTATATGGCTAGATTAATGACTTGAAAATCAAATAAATATTAAGTCACGCTCTAATCATCTTATCTTCCCCTTGCCTCACTCTATTACCCCCTGACATATTATGTCTCCCCAACTAGCATGTAAACTACCTAATGGTCAGGACTGACTTACCAGCTTATCACCAGGGCCCAGAACAGGGCCTGGGCACAGAGTGCTCAATAGTATTTGTTGAGTGGCTCAGTGACATTTCTGATAATTCATGATGATCTATACTAGAGACACACAGAGTCATGGATTTTCCTAAGGAACAGAATGGAAAGGAGGGCGCTGCAATCCCAATAAATGAGAGAAGTGGTAAGAAATGTGACGAAATTGTGTGGGACTATGCGCACACAGAGTACCAACGCCAGTTTCCCAACTTGATACTGTACTTTCGCAGGATAAAACCACTGGGGAATCTGGGCCAAGGACACACAGGACCTCTCTAGCTTTGCAGTTACCTGTGAAACTGTAAATATTTCAAAGTTAAAAGTTGGATAAAGTGGGTGGCTAGGGACAGACAGGAAGTAGAGGCAGCAGGACTTAGTGACTGTCTAGATAAAAAGAGGGGATTTTGTCCTGGGTGACAGGAGGTGGGGACATGAACTGATCAGTGGGAGGTACAGACCAGTTTTAGGCATGAGAAAAAAACTGGAGGAGGCCCTCCCTGGTGATGCAAGGGGTAAAAGCGCAACACTATGGGAAGTTATCCATAGCTACTGCAGCTCAAGTTCGATCCCCAGCCAGGAAGGTGACCCACATGGCCCAGCAGACCTCTCCTGCCTCACCTGCTACTCCCCTCAGCAGTGCGTTTCAGTAGATCTGCCTGTTCTGCTCCCCATTCTGTCTCTGGTGAATCCTCTCACTCCCCCCACCCCAATCTCTGGCCTACACCCCAGCTCTTGTATGCATAAATAAATAAATCTTTTTAAAAAATTGGAGTGGTTGGGGTGCCCTTAAAGGCCAATCTTGGGCCACACAGTCCCTTATTACCTGGACTGCCAGGGGGTAATAACACCATCATCTGGGCCCCCAATCAGCACAAGGCGGCCCACACGCAGAAAGTTCTTCCGCCAGGCTGCAGGGTGGGAAGAGAAAAGATGAGTTAGTCCCAGGAGTCAGCCAGGTTGGAGAGGAGAAGGCAGGAGGTAACAGAAGCAGAAAATGAAGGCCAGGTACGAGCCTGGGGTCTCACCAGTAGCATTGGGATGGTCTCTTTCCCCATTGATCAGAGCCAGGAAGCTGCTGGAATTGAGGTACAAGTCATCATGGTGGGGGTCTGAGTACAAACAGCAGTTGGAAAGATGGTCAGAGAAGCACAGAAGTAAGACAAGACCAAAGGCTAGGTGAGCCATGAGGAGGCTACAGTAATAGACAAGGTGTACAGTAGTATAATATCAGCAATAGGGCCCTCCCTGGTGGTGCAACGGGTTAAAGCGCAGCAGTCCACAGCCACCGTGGCACCGTGGCACAGGTTTGATCCCCGGACAGGGAGGTGACCCGCATGGCACAGCAGACCTCTCTTCTCCCTTCCGCTGCTCCCCTCAGCAGTGTACTTTGTCAATCTGCCTGTTCTGCTGTCCACTCTGTCTCTGGTGAGTCCTCTCACTGCCCCTGCACCTCTGGCCTTTATCCCAGTTCTTGTATACATAAAAAATAAATCTTTAAACAAAAAATAATAATAGTAGCAATAGTAACAATAAACATGACAACAGACACCTGTATGTAGCACCTACTCTGGGCCAGCCCCTATTCAGTGACATTACAGTCATTTGTTTAATGCTTATAACTTCCCTATATAGCAAGTATTAGTTATTATTTTACAGATGAGGAAAACTGAGTCAGGCTTAAGTGTCTTGTCTGAAGTCAGCCAGCAGGGTCAGACTTCAAACTCAAGTAGTCTAGACCCAGTACCTGTGTCTCAAAAGCTACTCCAAGCATTTGCAAATCATGAGTCATGGGTGACATTCAACCCACTGCTTGTTTCTGTAAATACAGTTTTATGGGAACACAGACACATTCATTGACATGTGGTGACGGCTGCTTTCACTCTGCTGTGGCAGAGCTGAATAGCTTTGCCAGAGACTACATACGTGGCCTGAGAAGCTGAAGATGTTTACTGCCTCGCCCGTTAGAGATAAAATTTATAACCCCTGCATCACACTCTTCTTTCTGAGGAAATAAGATGCTACACACAAAGCATTCTGCACAGAGTCTGTCTACACAGAGGCCTCAGAACACGTTTAAGTCTTCGCCACCTCCCATCGTGGTCGCTGTCAGGTAGAGGTGGGAGCAGCAGGTTCTACCCTCCAGGATACTCCTTCCCTGCCCTGATGGCCCCTACTCACCATGCCAGTAGTTGCAGATGGAGAATTCCTGGCCCCAGGGGCTATAGCAGATCCGGTAGAGGTTAGACCTCATGGAGGTGGGGAAGAGCCATTTCAAATAGTCCGTGTCTGGCAAGAGAACAGCAGTGCCAAGTAGCCCCTGACCACTATGCTCCCGTAGTCAGGGCCCCCCAGGGAGTCCAGGGCACCCTCTCACCTCCATACTGTCCCATTTGTGGAGAGGACAAAGAGATGAAAGAATCCACATTGTGTTCATCCATGACAGAAAGCAGCGCCCGGCACACCAGGCCCCCTGGAAGCAGAACACCTCGGTGGGAAGGGCCTTCGGGAGAGTGCTTCCTCCCCCGCCCGTCCAGCCCAGCCTGGCACAGAGATAGAGAGGGGACTGAAGCCCAAGAGAGCAGAGGGAAGCCTTGTGGTCAAAGGTCACTTGTCATGTAAGTCATGATGCCAGAATTCAATTCTGAGTCTTCTGACTCTAGCTCTTGGGTGCTCTTTACTCCCTAATATCCTTGATGTGCAAAACTCTGGGTAAAGGGGGAAAAGCACAGAGGCAGAAGAAAGACTCAGGTGTCAGAAAGTGTGGAAAGGAGAGCTCGGGACTGTGGCTCTGGACGTGTCCCCCTGGTAGGACTCGTAGGAGTCAAGGCTCACACAGGATTAGGGCTGGGGGGAGGTCGGGGAGGACACCTACCCTGTGAGTAGCAGATGAGATGCACCCCTTCCGGGGCATTTGCCATGATGGGGGTCACTGCCTCTCTGAACCCTTGCACCTGTTCCCACAGGGGCCGCAAGCTCTCTCTCCCATCGAAGAGATCGAGCACCGTCACCACAGTCCCCGGGTGTGTCTGTGGGAAGGGGGCGATGTGACAGCCAGGAATGACAGTGAAGCCCCTCCGCAGAGACGCTCCTCCCCCCAGCGTCCACGTACCTCCTGTGCCCTCCCAGACCCAGGGATATTGCTCCCCCATTCTCCCCACACCAGCACCAGTTCTGCGAGGAACGAGGAACGGGGCAGCCCCAGCGGGGCGGCTTTCAGTTTCCCATTCTCCCACCCAGCCACTGTAGACGCCTCTGACGCCCCACAGCCCCCAACTGGGTGTCCCCTACCAGACCTCGTTGATATATTCCAGCAGGTGGCGGAAGCTGTATGAGCTGTCAAAGAGCCCGTGCACCACGATGACCGGCTTGTAGGAAGCGCGAGGGGACGCAGGGGCTGTGGACAGCAGCAGCGGCAGCAACAGCAACAGGAGCAGGATCCCCGCCTGGGGGAGCCGCGGCCCGCAGAGCCCCAGCATGCTCCCGCCTGAGAAGGGGGGGATGAAGGCCTGTGAGACATAACAGCGCCGCCTCCCCTCGGAACAGACCCCAGGCCCTCAAGCCTCCTCCGCCCGTGCCCATAGCAGGTCCTCGTCACAAATAGCCGGCTTTTAACGCCATCCAGCCCTCTCCCCCCAGACACCCCCTCTCCCGGGAGACGCACCGGCGCGCGCCCGAAGCCCCGCCCCCAACTCGGCGCTCAGGGGACAAGGTCCTTAGGCCTCGAACTTCCGAATGCTTCACCCCAGCTCCGCACGACCCGGTGTTTTGCAAGAACGACCCCTGAACAGTAGCGCCAGCAGCCCGGAGAGGGCAAACTCCACCTGGTCTGGGTCCCGGGGCCTCACTGGCCCCGCCGTTTACTTCTCCCCAGTCTGGAACCCACAGGGGTTAGGGTAAATGTGTGCGGATAGCGCGCGCAGGGGAATGACGGACAGGAGCCGGCAGGTTGCTCGGGGTCGCGCTCAGCCGTCACGTCCGGGGCTTTCCCTGGTAACCGTGCCAGCGTCCCCCGCAACGCAGGCCCGGGACCGGAGGGGCAATGGAAGATTCCATTGAGCCCTAAGATCGGGGGAGGAAATAGGCGGAGCGATCCATTTAGACCGATGGGGGGAGAGGCCGACGGAAAAACAAACGTGTCCGGGGGGATCGCTAGAAGGCCTCTCCGGGCACCCCTGCACCAGCAACCCCAAGATTCGATTATCCGGCCTCCTTTCATCTCACTTCCCAATTCTGGCGTGCGGCTCCGCTGCGGACCACGAAGTTCTCTTTCCCCAGGGGTGTGGGGGATAGACTGGGGGAAAGGCAGTCCCTTTTCGTCTTAGGCGACTAGGAGGTGAAGCCAGCCCCGGCGGAGACCACCCCCGCCCCCTGCCTGCCCGCCCGCCGCGCGCACAGGTCAGCGTCTTACAACTCTTCATTCTGAAGTGCGTGTAGTGCCCTTGTCTCCAGAGACGCGGAGAGTCCTCGAGGCCCCTCGAGCTAAAAGTGCAGCCTGGCCCAGTTTCTCCGGCCCTACTAAACCACTCCGCAAAACGACTCACCCCCGAGGGGCGGAGGGCCCCTGGGGCAGCGCTGACTCACGCCGGCTTGGCTTTGACGAGTCTTTCAACCTGAGCGACCCCACAACCTGGCCCTCAGCCGGGAACTCCCTGTGGGTGGCTCCCGACCCAGACCTTCCCACCGCGTTTAGACTTCGGAGCTCTAGGCTGCTCGCACCACGCCACCGATACACCCTGATGCCCTGGGCTTTTACTTATCATTTAAAGATGTTTTCCTGGAGAAGGGGATTTCGCAGTTTGTCTGAACTCCCTGTCCACAAGATGTTTGCCGATCTAACGTCTCTCCCAGTCTAAACAGCTTGTTTGTCGATTTGAGTAGAGTGAGGATGGGGTGGAGGTAGGGGGTTAGGGGTCCATGCGAACAGCCCCAGAAACCAGAACAACAGGTAACCGAACCTTGGTTTAAATCTCTGGGGCTAAGACTGACCGACCCAGCGAGGGCCTTTTTACAGCACTGTGGACGCTGAGGAGGAGAGTCTGGCAGGGTGACTGCCTTAGGTGGAGGCTGGGAACTTCTGAAGGTGGGGGGCGGGTAATATACTCCGACTGTGTTTTTGAAAAATCCCAAATCAAAGTCTCAGTAGACTGCCCATCTTCACACCCCCTCCTTATCTAGGCGCTCCCACAAGCTACAAGCAAATAAAAAGACTGCAATCACCGCTGTGCTCCCGAGTCTACTGGGGAGTGGTGGCTGGGGTAACTGGTGTGTGTAGGGGGAGATAGTTAAGGAATGTATATGAACACTAAGGGACCCAGAAACTCTTAAGAAGGCCAATAAATAAAGGGGGGGGGGAGGAGAGAAGGAAACCAAGCACCTATCTCCAAACAGAACTGCCAGAAATGAGCAGTTGATTCATTCTCTTCTCCCAAAGTGCTCCAGCAACTTCACCTTGGAGGAAGAAAGTATGCACACATCCTCCAAGCTTCATCCCCATGCTCCTCTCCCCCACCCCACCACAGGCCCCACACCCTGGAATTACTATAGACTGAACTTCCCGATTCAGTCCATGACAGGTAGAGGTCACAAGCTTTGCAACTTAAAGCCATCAAAGCTCTCTACTCTGCACGTAGTTCTCTTTCATACACATCTCCTGAAGTGGGGGAAGATTTGGGAGAAGATCCTGGGGGCTGCAGGGCCTCAGAGGGAAGCTGAAGAGAAATAGACCTGACTGGGGTAAACCAGATCCCCAGGGGACTGAGGTTTTGAAGCACTTGCTCACTTCCTCCCACAACATAATCACTACAGCCAGTCTTAGAGGGGAACACTCTGGAGAGTTCTCTCTCCTTCTTTCCCTTAATCCCACCCACCTTGCCTGGTCTAGCTTGCCTCCCTGTTTCCATGACAACTCCGAGGGAGCCCAAACTGGGGGCTTGAATGCTGGGGTGAGAGGAGGAAAGACTGGTTCAAAGCAGAGAGAGACTGAGGGGGGTACATCTGAAGAGCTCCCCCTCCCTTGCCACGGTCCCTTTAAGCTCCCCCCCTCCCTCCGCCCCCCGCGGCTGTCTTCATCTCTCCATCTCTGCGCTGCTGCTGCCGGCTGCGCAATCCGTGCATCCAGACTCCTGCCTCGGCCGAGACCCCAGACTTCAGCTGCAGGGGCCCGTCCTAGCAAGAGACTACTGGCATGTCATCTGAAAAGTCAGGTAAAAAACAACAACAAAAGCTCCCCCCATTTCTAGGGACTCCTGATTCTCCCCCCATCCTTGGTCCCAACCCCCTTCCTTACCTCTCTCCCTAGTGAGTGGTTCTGTGCCATTCTATCCAACTCTCAGCAACCGCCCCCCCAACCCCCCTCCCCTTTTCCTAGCACTCCCTTCTCTTCCTTTCCCCCTCAGTCTCAGCCTCCAAACCTTGCCAACAACATGGGCAGGGGGGCAGGTTGAGAGGGAGAGGGAAGTATGAGAGTGGCTTAGCACCAGCCAGGTACTGCAGGGATGGCATCACTGGGGTGACAGATGGACAGATGAGACTGGCCCACATGGGGACATCCAGCTGGGAAGTATGAAGCCTATCGGATGTGGGGGGGTGTCAGGGGAGTGGAATGCAGAGGACCTTTCTTTACCTGCCCTAAAAGAGCTCCAGAGGAATGGGACGCGTCATTCTACATGTGTTTATACAACTGTTGAATTGAGCACATGTTAAACGTGTTGCACTTCTTCGCATGAGCACACAGGGCACTAGCTCAGGTGGGCAAGCCCAGCACAGCCAAGGATAGAGAGTCGTCTGCATGCAAAAGCTGTGGGTGCACACGGCTGAAGAAGGGAGAGGAGCAGGGGGGAGTTATGACCTCAAAACTAGACCAAAAGGAAGAAGAGGCAAGCAGATGGCCTAGATACCCCTCTCCTGCCCCAAGAATGAGAGACAGCTTCTCACCCATCTCCTCTCTGTCTCTCCCGTTATCTTTCTCCATCCTGACCGTTTCTCTCCCACCCCTCCTATTTCATCTCTGACCATCTTATCTCTCCATACCCTCTCCTCTGCTCACTGCCCGCAGGCCTCCCAGACTCAGTCCCTCACACTTCTCCTCCACCTTACAATGCCCCCCAACCGCCCGCGGAACCGCCCGCCCCGCCCCCACAGGCAGCCCCCTCCTCGCACCACCACCACCACCACCATTATCACCAGTCTGGCACCGCCACCCTCCCGCGCTTAGGGGCAGGTGGCCTGGCTTCTTCTGCTGCCACTGCTCAGCGTGGTCCCTCCTCCTCCGCCACGCTGCCGAGACCCCCTCACCATGCTCCCCCGGGTCCAGCTGCTGGGGGACCCCCACCTGGCTGTGCTACCTTGCCCCGCATGCCACCCGACCCTTACCTACAGGAGACTCGCTTCGAGGGCCCACTGCCTCCACCGCCTCCCGCTGCCGCCCCGCCCCCACCGGCGCCCTCTCATACTGCCCAGGCCCCGGGCTTCGTGGTGCCCACGCACACGGGGGCGGTGGGTACGCTGCCGCTGGGGGGCTACGTAGCCCCGGGCTACCCCTTGCAGCTACAGCCTTGCACTGCCTACGTGCCAGTCTACCCGGTCGGCACGGTGAGTACCCTGGAGACAAAGGGGGGGGGGAGGCTCACCACGGAACAGGATTTGGCTTTGGGAACGCACTGGATGCTAATGGGATCGATAAACAGAGCAGGGATCAAGTGATGTTTGGGGGAGGGGGTAAAAGTTAGAGAAGGATGGACCAGGTAAAAGCCTGGGAATGGGGGTAAGGAAGTAAAGAGGTTAATCAGAGTCACAGATCAGGGCCTGGATGGGGGAACAGAACCTAGAGGTCCAGAGGATGTTTGAAAAAAAGGAAACAGTTTGGGCCGAGGGGCCAGAATGAAATCTGGGAACCAAGAGGAATGAGGGAGAAGAGACCTGGGACTGACTGGGGGAGGGGGTGTCCACACACACACACACACACACACACACACACACACCCCTCCCCCCTGCCCAGGTAGATCTCTGAGATAAGAAACTGGGTCTGAATAAGAACAGAGCAGTGTTGATGGGGTTCTTTGGGGGAGGGAGCTGGAGATCCCACCCCCAGCATACAGGGTGAATGACCGCAGTGAACAGGTGAGGAACCTCAATGGGATTTTATGGACGTCTGGGGGTGGGTAGTGGATGATCAGGTTCTCCAAGAAGCAAGGTTGGTGGGCTTTAGAGAGGGTTGGAGTGACTTCCTCTTGCCCCAACCTTCTTTTCACAGCCCTATGCAGGCGGGAACCCGGGGGGAACTGGAGTAACCTCCACGCTCCCCCCGCCGCCCCAGGGCCCAGGGCTGGCATTGCTGGAACCTCGGCGCCCGCCACACGACTACATGCCCATCGCGGTGCTGACCACCATCTGCTGCTTCTGGCCTACGGGCATCATCGCCATCTTCAAGGCCGTGCAGGTTTGTGGAGCCGGGAAGGGAGACTTCAGGAGAGGGGGGCTTGCGCGGTTTTTCTTATCCCAGGGAAGATGGGCCTCTGTGGAGCACCTTGGAGGGAGGCTTGCCGCGCTGGCAAGGCAGCTGTCCGCTGACCAGTTTCCCCTACCCCTTCACCGCAGGTGCGCACGGCCTTGGCCCGCGGAGACATGGTGTCGGCGGAGATTGCTTCGCGAGAGGCTCGGAACTTCTCTTTCATCTCCTTGGCGGTGGGCATTGCAGCCATGGTGCTCTGTACCATCCTCACCGTAGTCATCATCATTGCTGCGCAGCACCACGAGAATTACTGGGATCCGTAAGGACCCCCCCAGCCTGGCCCCACCTTACACCCCTCGACCTCCCTCGCGCGTTCTGCGGTCACGCCGCGGATCCCAAGGGCGCAGTGCATTCCCGCCTCTGGGGCGACCGACTTCAGTACATCCTAAACTCAGCCTCCACGGAACCACTCGCCTTGCGGGCATTCGGAGTCCAGGTCCTCAGGAACCCGGCCAAAGCCCACAACCCCAGGGACGCCGCTTTCAGAGATCCCCGCCTAATGCCGGACCCCCAGTCGCTCCAGGCCCCCACCCTCTGTAAATGCAGCGCCCCCAGCCGAGCTCCCTGGGTCTCTCCTCCCCAGTCTACAGACGGGTCCCCTAAGCCCGTCTCCTCTGTAGGCTCCGCCCCGGCTCTGACAAAACCCCGCCTCCTGGTCGGCAGGCTCCGCCTTCTTTTCTTTCCAGCGGGGTGACTCAGTCCGGTGATTGGGTTTGTGGCGCCAGGCCTCGCCCTCAGACCAGCAAACTCCTCCCCTCCTCCCGGCGCGGCGACCCAACGCTCCCAAGCGCGCACCGGTTTTTTGTTTTTTGCGCGGTCTGGTCTCTTCACCCCGGCTCCCCACTATTTTCTTGCTAATCCAGAAGCTCGACTTTTGGTTGTTCTGAAATGAGATTGGCGAAGATCCCAGGGTGCTTCACCCTGGGAGGAAGACCACGTTCGCATTCTCTGTAAATACCCCCACCCACGCCAACCCCTGGGCAACAGGGCAGAAGGGAAACCTTACGGGGAGACAGACCTCCCCAAGTCTGGAGGAAGCCGGCCCGCTCCCGCTTCCCTTGCAGCCCCAACTTGTTTTGATCTGTGTGTGAGTGTGTGTGTATTTCTGGAAGATAAAATTAAAGAGACTAAGTGCATTTATCACCCCAATTTCGAAGACTGCGGCCTTGTAAAGACCCTGCTCTTTTGTGCTCCTCTTAGTCCTTCCCTAATCTCCCCTCTTGGAGGGGGGAGAGGGGCGGGAAGAGAACACTGACAAAGACAAAAGTGGGAGCAGGCAGATTCCCTGGACCACAGAAAGACACAAATACGGGAGAGGAGGGGGAGCTTCCTGGAAATCCTCTGGGGTCCACTCTTG